GGCCAGTGGGTCCTGGACTTGGGTTCCTCTTCCCTATTCTTTGGCAAAACTAGAAAAGTAAGTTAATAAAAGTTTCTATAAAGCTAACAGATCCAATTTAAAGGGCTATCCTTTATGCAGGGATTATATTCTACTTGCAGTGTTAAAGTGTTCCGGACAGGAGTTGTATCATTTTGACTCGATAAAGCAAATACCTGGCAACCCAAAGTCCACTTCCCACATTTGGGTGGGCTCCTGAAACCAGACAGTTGGGAGTCCTGGTAGCTTTGAGATGGGATGTGGCTACCCACCTCCACTGACAGCTGCCTTCTGTTCTAAGACCACTCTTTTCTCAGTCACTGCACTCCCAGCGCTTTAGAAAGAAAAGCTGGTGTGCTGGCTCTGCTGGGCCCAACTCCTGGTTGGAGGGGGAAGCTTAAGGTTTCCGGGCCCTTCCTCCCCATCAGTAGCAAAGGCCTGACAGTGCCCCAGAAGGCACAGCCTCTGAAGCCCACGCTGGCATCATGAGCTGGCTTCTGTCCTGGTGGCCTGTTGGTGAGGAAGTGGCTTTTCTCTGCAAGTGGTGGGAATTCTGGTGCCTTGGCCTGTGCCCCTTTCTCCTGGGCTTGGAGCCCTGCAGGTGGTCATTCCATTGCTAAGGAAGGTCTGGGTCTCCTCCAGGCCCCTGGAGAGTTAAGACTTATAAGGAGTTCCTTCCAGGGGAAGGGTGAGGACTAGGCTCCCAAGAACCATGGAAGGAAGCACTCGCAGTCACCTCACTAAAGAATATTCATTTATTTATAATTATTGCTAAGTAAACGTCTCTTTTAAACAGGAACATAAAAACACAGTAGGGCTTTGCACAAGTGGAATTTCTAAACAGTTGGTTTGTATACATGTCAAAATAAGTTAGAATGGAATTTGTCCAGGAGTTTCCAAGTCACCAGAGAGGCCGCACGCCTCTTTTGAAAAGGTGGGGGTGGGGGGGTGAGGACAGGAGCCTTGCCGAGACCACCCCCCAGCTCAAATTGTGAGTTGTGCTGTTTCCTTCTCTCAGCCTTGCCCAGGTCCAAGGCACAGGGCAGAGGGGGAGCGTTCAAGTATGGAACCTCGCAGAGGGCTGGTGCTGATGGTGGGGCTGGGGGAAGAGAGAGCCCCACCCTGGGGCCAGACCTTCTCCCATGGGTTTCCAAGACCAAGGCCACTGCACTGGCAGGAAAGAGGAGGAGGAGGAGGTACAGGCTTCTTTTTGGTACCAGGGGAGAAAGACGTGGGAAGAGGTAGTTTGCAGGGGATGATGCTTCTGCTCAGCAGGAGAAAATGTCTTCTACAGTGACGGGGGTCACTGCCACCTGAGGGTCATCATGGCGGGCACCTGGGAGGCTGGGGGGCCTCGGGGTCTAGGAGCCACATCTGGGGAGAGGCTTCCGTGAGCCCCCAGCCCTTTCATTTGCTGCTTAGCATGAACTCTGGCAGAGAAGGAAGGGGCAGCTGGCTGCCTGATCCCAAGGCTACCTTGTCCTCCCATCGGTCCTGATCTCAGCCACCCTGAGGCCTGGCTTGGTCCTAAGGTACAGCCTTGGGGATAGCTGCATTTCAAATTGGCACCTCCTCCTCAGCCGCTCCCTGCCTCCTGGTTCTGGGCTGAAGCTGGTGGCCTTACCTCCCATGCCTTTGGGAATGGCCCTGCCTGCTCCTCCCCTTGGAGGCCTCAGGAGGCAAGTGGCTGGGAGTCTGGGTGCCCTAGCATTCCTGAATGTGTTCGTTCACTGCCCTGGGCCTGCAGTCTTCAGTTCGGGGGCAGGAGATGGCGTGGGGACAGGGGATGAGAGCGGGCAAGCGAGGGAATGAGCCGTGGGCGAGGGGAGTCAGTGGCCCTGGCCACTCCTGGGTGGTGCAGTGAGTCACTGGCCTGAGGGGCTGGAGGGCCTGCCGGGCTCTGCCTCCTCCTGCCTCACCCTGGCCTCCTGAGGCTCCCTGCCAGCAGCTGCACCCCCAGGGCCAGACCTACAATCCCCTCCGAGCCCGAGTCCAGCCAGGCGGCTCTTGGTCCGGGAGGCACAAAGCACGCAAAGCACACAAGAGAGCTTCCGCTGGGAAAAAGAAAATCATCTCCGTCAGAAAAAAATAGGTGACACAGCTGGAAAGAAAAAATAAATTACCTTCAAAATAGCCCCATTTGCTCAAAAAAATTTTTTTCTTCTCTATGGTCTTCATTTTCCTTTTTAAATATGTTGCTCTTCCCGGGACCCTGCTGACTGTTGGCTATCCCCACCCTCAAAATGGATACTTGTTAGTCCTTAAATAAGAGAAAAACTCCAGTCCCCCTTCCCCCCATATAGGGTGTCCTTGAGGACAGCCCCTCTCGGTCCCCAGTGGCCCCTTCACCATGCCCTGCCCCCTCACTCCAGGGGGGCCTTCATCTGTCTTTGTTAGTGTGTGCCTGACTGAAGGCATGCCCTGGCTTTGTGGGGGAACCCTGCCCCAGTTCGAGGCAGAACTGGATGATTGTTGAAATCCACTTTAGGGACACCTACCTCCAAATAGGGATGTAAGATGGGGGCTTTCAGGGGGTTGGCTGGAGAGGACGGTAGCTGGGAGTTGGGCTACACCCCACTTTCCTAAAGCCAGGACTGGGGCCGCATGCACACCTGGCTGGAGGAGAGCGTGGGAGGCACCAGGAGGTAGAAGGCAGAGGGCCCTGCCGAGCTGTCCATGGACAGGGTGGGAAGGGGACTCTGGGGCCTGGGCGCTTCCCAGTCCAGGGGCTAGTTGGGGTTGAGGGGGGCAGTGCTGACCAGCACAAGAGCTAAAACATCCCTAGAGGCAGGAGGTGGTCCAGAGGGAAAACGGGGCATGGCTCAAGAGATCTCTTCCTCCAGTGACAGGACCCCTGAGGAGCTGCCAGGATGGCCCTGCCCTCACTGGCTGCCCCAGCTCTGCTGGGCCTGGAGAGACTTGAGAACCTGTGCCCTTGTGACCTGTCTCCAAATGGCCCCCATCTGCATTTCTCCTGCCCTCCCAGAGCAGCAGGCCAGAGAGACCCAGACCTGGGCCTCCCGTGTTACCCTTCCTTCCCTAGAATGCCTGGGGCCGGTGCCGGGTTCACAGCTGAGGCCAGTAGTACAGTCTCCACTTGGTCTAAAAGTCCCCAGTGGTGCAAATAACTGAGTGGGAGGGGAGGGCTCGGGACAGTGGGGCAGTAGCTCGTTTCTCAGCTGCAGGAGGTGCAGCCCGCAGCACAGGGGTCTCCCCCCACGCCCCACGCCCTCCTCGCCCCGTTCTGGGCGGCCCGGCTTGTGCTATAGCACATTGTAGTAGGCCATCTCTTTCATGGCCTGTTCGGTGAGGACACTGGCCTCGGCGCTGCTGTCCACGCCGGCGTAGGCATAGGCGTTCTCCTCGAAGTCCTCCATCTCCTGCTGGCTGTCGAGCTCAGAGGGGTCGGGGCCGGTCAGCTCCATCATGGGGTCTGCAAGGGAGGGCACAGTTAGGTCTGGACGCCACCTGGGGCAAGAGCCAGTCACTCCCACACAGGGAGGGGAACTAAAGCAAGGACTTCCCAGTCATTGCTTCCAGCAGACTCAGCTGCCTCCTCTGCCCTCCTGCTCTTGGAGGCCTCCAACGCCTGTGGCTTCTCAGATGGGTTGCTGGACCTGAACCTTAAAACTGTGTGTGTGCCGGGTGGGTACAGGCCTGGACTTAAACCCTTCTTAGGGTCATGCTTCACACCCACCTAAGTCACTAAGCCCTACTTATTTATCCTCTGCGATGTTTCTCATTGGTCCCCTCTGCCATATGAAAGCCTCCTGTGCTAAATCATGTCTGCAACACCACTCATTTGGCACCTACTGTATGCCAGGCACTTCACATATACTGTCTCATGAATGCTCACAGCAATCCCACTTAGGAGCTCAAAAGGAAGTTCAGAGAGGCTAATCAACTTGCCAGAGGGCACCCAGCAGGCGCTGTTATTTTGATCCACTGTGCTGCTCTGCCTCAAATGGCTGAAGGGATCTGTCTCTCCTCTCATCTCCACCCAGTGGTATCCTCAGGCCTTGTTTTCCAAAGCCCAACAAACACCCAAGGTAGGTTAACAAAGACAAAAACTCTTCAGAGGCCTCTTATAATTTTAGCAAATTGAAATCTTATTATAAAGCTCTTACTATTGGAGTAAAAGCCAGATGGAAAACTTCACAGAGGAGGCCTGGGTGGGACTGCCTTCCAATGAGCTATGGAGGGAGGGAAGCCCGGGGTATGATCTGGGGACACTGGGAGACTGGCTGGCAGCGACTGTGGCTGAGCCTCTCAATATGTATCCTGTCCCTGTCCACCTAGGAAGTGCGATGTGTTTTAGGGAGAAATGGACCCCAGCCCAGGTGTACGTAGCCCTGATAAATCTCAGGCAGGGTTTTCTAACCTTGGCGTTAACGTCTTGGGCCATAATTCTTTGTTGTGGGGGACTGTCCTGCGTATTGTAGAATGTTTGGCCTCTACTATCTAGATGCCAGTAGCATCATCCCAGTTGTGACAACCAAATGTCTCTAGACATGGCCAAGTGTCCCCTGGGGGGCAAACTCACCCCCAGTTGAGAACCACTAGTCTAAGACTAATCCTGCTCCTTGCCAATGAGTGGCTCAGGATTGGCATGGGACCCAATTCTGGCCAATGAATCATGAGGAAAGGCCCGCTAGTGAGTTCTTAGAATGCTCTCATTGGTTTCACAGAGGAAAGGGGAGCAGGCTCTTACTCTTCCAATGGAGGTTAACTAAAGAAGCATATTGCCCTGAAGGCCACTGGCAGCTATTCTGCAACCATGAGGAAAATCACAGCTAATTCTTTTGGACAGATAGAGGGAGCCTCATCTGATGTCATTGTTGAGGGGCTGAATGAGCCAACTCTGAAGATAGCCTGGACTTGAAGTCATTTCTTAATCTATTTCCTTATTGTTAAAGCCCGTCTGAATGGAGTGTCTGTTACTTGTGCCCATAGCATCTGACACACTGTAAGTCTTTCTGACTTTATAAAACAAGGCCAACTGTACTGAACCTTATAGACCCTAGGCTGTTTCTTCCTCGGATCCTAGTGCCACACCTTCATATCATATAGTTGATTAAAAACAAGGTAAATAAAGACCGTGGGACAATTTCTATCTCTGTATCTGTTACCCTTGCAACCTCCCTTTATCTTTATTAACTCTATTGGTCCTGTCCAGTTGGCCCCAGGGAATAATAATCTGTACCATCTTTTACAAGGACACTGACCTATCCCCCAAATTACAGTCCTATAGTTTATTTGGTGATTCCACCTAGAATGTATGCTGCCTTCCTCCTGCACAAGTGTCAAGCCTGAGCTTCTTAGACCAAGGTTATATGTGAGTGGCGGGCGGACCTGGGCCCCAGCCATTCCCATGCCAATTCCTGCTTTACTTTCTGTCATCTGGTACAGTCAGAAAGAAAGCAATCCTATGCACCCCTGGTTACTGACCTCAGAAGGAAAGAGCTTATGTCTTAACCACCTCCTGGAAGCAAGTTGTGCAGGGACAGCTACTTCCAAAAGGACTAATCCTGCTCTGGTCCCTCCTGGTGGGTTAGCTCCTGGCAGGTCCACTAGAGTATTGGCTCTCAAACTCTACCGCACATAGAATTACCTGAAGTGCTTAAAAAAATCTGGATCCTGGGCCACCAACCAGATCAACTCGAACCTCTGTGGTTGAGACTCAGGCATCAGCATTTCAAAAATTCTCCAGGTGATTCAAATGTGCAGCCAAGTTTGAGAAGCAGTTCTCTAGAGCCTAGATTAGAGGTTCTCAAAGTGAGTCCAGACCAGCAGCTTTGGTTTGACCTGGGAACTTGTTGGAAATGCAAATTATCTGACCCCACCTGAGACCTACAGAATCAAGAGCTTGAAGGGTGGGGCCCAGCAATTTATTTTAACAAGCCCTCTGATTCTCATGCTCCCTCACTCAAGTTTGAAAACTATCACTTTAGTCAATGCTTTCCAGATTTTCTGGTGCAAACAAATCACCTGGGAATGTTTTTCAAATATGGATCCTGATTCAGCTCGTCTGGGGTGGAGCTGAGTCTGCATTTCTGGCAAGATCCCAGGTGATGCCAACACTGCTGGTCCTACAACCACATTTTGAGTAAGAAGGGGCTACGTGCAGTCAATACGGTTTCATTCCACAAGAATGGAAAACTGATGATACCTGTTTCTGCCAGAAAACCTGGGCCATTCACTGGTCAGCTGCTCCTAAACCAAATCAGGGTTATTGCTGCCACTCCCCAGCATCTGATTGACTCCTAGTGAGCAATCTCATATGGCAAATCAACTCACTCGATATTGCACGGTACATTCCCAGCTAGTTGTCTCAGAAGGAGCACAGAAATTCAAATAGCTCCAGACTATACAAGGAGCCTTCCTAAAGTGCCGTTGGCCTCTCTTTCCTGTAAGACCTTAAAGTGCTTCCCATAAGGAGGCCAGAGAGACTGAAGTTCTGCTACTGACCAGCATTGTGGGGAGAGGCTATCACATGCAGAGATGCTATAACAAACAGCCAATGAAAACTCCACCAACTGCAGAGGTGAGGACCCTTCTGAGAACATGGCTACATTCTCTGACTGGCACTATGAAGAGTGTGACTGATTGTATTACACTTTTTGCCTTGGCTACTGGGAAGCTCAGAGCCCTCTGCATGCCCCTAGGACATTCCATTGGGGAACTTGGGAGTTGTAACCTCACCTGGCTCTCCCTTATCTTTCCAGTTGCCATTTTCCCTTTTGTTAATTTCTTTCCCATCGATTTGTTTTTTAAATGTCATCTCAGCAATGATCTTATATGAGTTACCTAACTTCTCTGTCCTTCAGTGTCTGCATCTGTAAAATGGTGATAACTGAGCCAACCTCCCTGTGAGGGTCATGTGAGTTAATAAAGGCTTGGCACACAGCACTCAACAAATATTATTTTTATTGTTTATGTGAGCCCATGTAAGTCCTTTGAAGAGCACATAAATATCTCATCATTATCACCATGGTGGTCCTCCAGGGTGCCCCCTCTCCAGACCTGAGCCCACCCCAACGAGGCCTCAGGCCTGGCCAGCCTCCCCACGCCCCTAACTGGACAGGAGGCTCCTGAGTGTGCCATGACAGTACCGCTCCTGCTCCGTCCACTGTGTGTGGCCCACCCACCTTGGCTGTCCAGGCCGATGTCCATGACGCCGTGCTTGACCTTCATGTGCCGGCTCAGGTTGCCCTTGAGGTTAAACTTGCTGGAGCAGTAGGGGCACTTGAAGGGTTTGCTGCCCGCGTGCAGGTGCATATGGCCCAGCAGGTTGTACATGCGGTTGAAGGACTTCCCACACACCTGGAACACACCAACCCAGCCTCATCAGCCTGGGGAGCCCGCCCTCCCCAGACCCCCAGCCACTCCCACCTCCAGGGCTGGGCTGGAATCCCATCTGCTGTGGACAGTACTCACTTTGTCTTCTCTATGTAACCCCAAGAGGCAGAGGACTAAGCCACTCCTTGCTGGTCACTGTTCCTGTGGGTCTGCCCCACGTTCCCTGAGCTGGAGTTGTCAGAAACCCAGGGCTCAAATCTCTGACTGCACTGAGTCCCAGGCCTAGGCTCTTCCCCTGTGGCTGCACTGTGACCTTCATCCCCTCCTCCGACCCTCAAAAAACAATAGCAGTAGCTTGTACAATGGAACCCCCATCACCCACCCAACCCCCAGAGCCCAGGCAGTTTCACCCAAACAGGGCTCCCTTGCCCACACTGGGTCTCTGCTGCTGCCATCATGCTGAGCCAGGGCCACCTGTGGGCAAGTCCTGCCTTGAGGTCCGAGGGCCTGGTACCTTGCATTTGAATGGCTTCACGGGCGAGTGTACAATCATGTGGGTCTTGAGGGTCTGCTTCTGCACGAAGGTCTTGAAGCAGATGTGGCACTGGTAGGGCCGAACGCTGGTGTGGATCAGCATGTGCCGCTTCATGTTCGCCTGCAGGGTGAACTCCCGGCCGCACACCTCGCACTTGAACTCCTTCACACCCTGTAGTGGGTGGGAGCGATGGTCAGGGCCACACAATGGACACAGGCTCTCCAAGTGTGTGCACAGGGACCACAGCGTCAGAGTGTGCGTACACTTCTAGGAAAGGACTTCCTGGGGACGTTCCAAACAGGTGCCGCTTGTTTGAAACCACTGGGAGTGGCTAGGGCAGAACCACTGACTCTGGGAAGCCTTCCAGTGATAGGCAGAGATTGGCTGGGTCGTATTGTTCAAATCCACACACCTGTTGTCTCCTGCCTGGCAGGGTAGGTAAACCTGTAGGTCTCGGGGGAGGGTACAGCTCAAGTGGTAGAGCACATGCTTAACATGCACAAGGTCCTGGGATCAACCCCCAGCGCCTCCTCTAAAAATAAATAAACCTAACTACTGCTCCCCCACCAAACAACAACAAAACTTAAAAAAAAAAAGAGCCTTCGGTAGGTCTGTATCAGCACACCAAGGCAAACGTGTTCGTTTGCTCATTCATTCATTCAGCAACCATATACCAGGCACCTGCTACAAGCCAGCATCCTACCAGGCACGAAGGGCCTGTGGTCAAGAAGACACATCCATAGCCTGGTGGTCTGGATGGCTTCCTTGGATTAAGATGTATGTATATGTTTTTCACCTCAGTGCTGTTTCTCGGTGGTCTTTTTGGTTCACAGGCCCCTTTGAGAGTATGACTAAAGGTATAGGAACCCCAGGAAAAATGACAAACACAAAGATCTGTGTAGAATGTAAAGAGTTCTTGAAATTGGAAGCCCATCCACTGACCTCCGAGAGTGTATTCCAAGCTTCCCTGGTGATTATGAACCAACTGTAGTTCTTATTGAACATACAGCCTCTCAGACCCCTGCCTGGAAATTCTGATCCAGCAAGCTCAGGGATTTTTAATCCCAACAGGTTCCCCCGGTGATCCTTATCAATGATAAACTTGGGGGAACTCAGCCCCAGAAGACAGAGATTCGAAGGGATGGGAGGAGGGTATAGCTCACATGGTAGAGGGCATGCTTAGCATGCATCAAGGTCCTGGGTTCAATCCCCAGCACCTCCTCCAAAAAATAAATAAATCCAATTACCTCCCCCTTAAAAAAAAAAGATTCCAAGGGAAAACCCTCTGGTTTGGTTTTACATGCTTTACCATGGTCTGGAGGTGACCCCCCAGAGCAGGACAAGGTGCTGTGTGCACAAGGAGACCCAGTGTATTGTCTGGGGAGGAATGTGAGAACCAAAGTTGGAAGCTGAACTCTTTCCTAGAAACCTAGTAATTTAGTAGAATTTCAGTGGGACTGACACATTTCTGTGGTCACAGCTGCTGTCCCAACCGCTTGATTGGTAAAGTTTTGCTTTATAATTTAATGGTTCCTGATTCTATTTCTCTTAGCCGACAGGGGCTGTCTCCTGTCTTGTGTGCTTGCTTGACACAGCGAAGATGACATGTATGACCACCAGGGGGCCCTGCCTTTGGGAGCTCTCTATATAAGTGCATGATACGCGCATCCTACAAATTTAGGCTGCTAATGGGAATGTTTTCAATTTTATTAGCCTTTGATTTTTTTTAACTTTTTTTATTGAGTAATAGTCATTTTACAATGTTGTGTCTATTAGCCTTTGATTTTTGCTTTTCCCCTTTTCTTCACAGTATTATTTATCTTTTAACACTGTGGACTTGTGGGGATTTTAAAGTCTCCTAGTAGAGGAGAAAGATGGCAAATATATAGCACATATACTTATCACTCTCCACTCTCACCCCCTGCAGGCATAAATAATCAATCATCTAGTTTTATAGCCCAGCCCAGGTTCGGCTTCAGAATCCTTCTTAACATTACACTCTAGGTAGTGACACCAATTGACACCAATTGAATGGAGGCGCATCTGCAATGAAACCTACAAACCATCTCCGCTCTAGCAGAAACGGTCCCCTGGGCTGGGGAAGGCTGGACTCTCGGCCTGGCAGGCTGTTGCTCCCCCACTCACTGTCGTGTCCACTGTGAGAGATGAGGACACAAGATTGTCCTGCAGTATCTCTAAGGCTACCTTTACGGAGAGAGGAAGCTCTGTGCGCTTTCATCTTCAAAGTATGAAGTTGGTTGGATTTGGGGCTGCAGCTATGGACGGCCAAGTGCCAGAATGGGGCTATGGGACCTGAGAGAACTCAGTCCCCCTGCCTGGAAGTAAGGGCCTCTCAAAGGAAGGTGACGTTGACTGAAAGGCAGGATGGCCAGCGGCCTGAAGGAGGGAAGAGGAAGGTAAGAGAGGTCCAGGTTATGCCTGGGGACATAGTAGATGGGAACAGTGTGGCTGTATCTTCCGTCTTCACAAACCACAAACCACTCTGCCTCATTTCATCATATTACAGAACCAATTGTGCTTTTCCATAACAAATATTTTTCCTTACATCTATCTCCTTTTAAAATGAAATATTTTTAGCTTTCCCCTAAAAGGAAGTCACACAGGTTGTGATATGCTTGTGTAACCACGAGGAGCAAAGGAAGCCTTCTGTACTTCTGACCATCTCCTCCCCGTCCTTGTGGCGTCCTGGCCTTGGTCCTCCCAGCCATAAAACAGAGAATCAGTGATTCTCCAACTGTGCTCCCTGGGTCCTGCAGGGGTTCCTCAAACAGTCAATTTTTTAAAGTTTTTAAATAAATAAAGGTTTACTATTTAAAAAACTAATTTCAATGACATTTTTTCCAATATTCATCAAAATAAAAATAACTATAAAAATAAGAAATGTTCACCACCTAAATGATCTCATCCAGCACTTTGGGAAGCGCTGGATGAAAGCAAGGCAGGAGAGGGCACAGCCTCAGGCCGGGGCAAAGCCCCTGGGGGGGGGGGGAGGTAGCGGGGCGGGAGAGGAGGCCTCAGGGGCCAGGCCTTGCAGGGGAGGCGTCCTCACCTTGTGGGTGAGCGAGTGCTGCTTGAGGTGGTGGATCTGGCTGAACTCCATGCCGCACTCCGTGCACACGAAGGGCCGCACGTTCTGGTGCTTGAGCATGTGGTTCTGCAGCTGGCTGCGGTAGTGGAAGGACTTGTCGCACTCGAGGCACTGGTAGAGGGTGGGGCCCTGGTGGGAGGCCAGGTGGCGCTTGAGCTGGGTCAGGGTGGAGAAGTCCAGGCCACACTCGACGCAGACGTGGCAGCGGCCGCTCTCATGCTTCACTTCGTGGGCCTTGAGCTCGCTGGGGTAGGCAAAGCCGCGGCCACAGAAGTGGCAGCTGTAGGGCTTGACCTCCGAGTGCAGCAGCATGTGGCGCTTGAGGTGGCTGGTCTGAGTGAAGGCCTTCTGGCACACCTGGCACTTGTGGGGCCGGGTGCCCTGGTGCGTCAGCAGGTGCGTCTGCAAGTGGCTGGGCTGCTTGAAGAGCTTGCTGCAGTGCGGGCACGAGTGCGGCTTGATGCCGTTGTGGCCCAGGATGTGCGTCACCAGGTTGTACTTGGATGTGTAGGACTTCTCACACATGCGGCACTGCCAGCGCTTCTGCCGGTCTCCAGCCTCCACCAGGTACGAGTCGTCGATCTGCACGTTGATGTCCAGCCGGTCCAGTTGGGCCTTCTTGTGGCGTTCCACCGTTGAGCCAGCCGCGTCCGCCTCGAACTCGCCTGCCTCCTGCCACACAAAGCCCTGCTCCGGCTTCACGGGCTCCGGGGACTCCATGGTGGGGGCCTCGGGGTCGCTCAGTGGGGCCAAGTGGGGCGGCTCAAAACCACACTCTGCGGGCAAGGCCTCCGGCCCGGGCAGTGCCATGCTGGGCTCGGGGAAGCCATCCCGGGCCGGGTCAGGGAAGTGGGGGTCATAAGGGGCTACGTCCAGCTCTGGCCTCGGGGTTCGGGGCAGGTGCCGCAGCGTCCGGGGCTTGCGGCTGAAGACGCTGAGGTCGATCATCTTGACGGCACTGCTCTGCACCAGGGCCTCGCAGCCGCCACTGGCCACCTCAGCTGGGGCCTCTGCTGGACCTGCATCCTTGTCATCACCAGGCACGGACACCTCGTAGACCTCCTGCTCCTCCTCCTCCTCCACTTTCTCACACTTGACCTTGGGCACCAGCCGCACAGGGGGCCGTGTCTTCCGCCGGGTGTGCTTCTCAAAGGCTGCCTCCACCTCCAGCACCTCCTCCTCTGCCGGCTCCTCCAGGGCCCGCCCGTTGCAGGCCAGCTGGTAGACGTCAGGCCCCGGAGGCCCAGGCTCCCCGAGGGCTGCCCCAGACAGCTCCGGCCCCAGGTCTGGGTAGAAGGCTTCGGCGCTTATGGTAGCTCCAAAGAGCTCATTTTCTGAGACCAGGCCCAGCACAGCGGCCTGAGCCAAGGACAGCACCACCACGGCATCCGTCTGTGTCCCTGAGTCCATGAAGCCCTCCATCCCGTGGCGGCTGGCTAGGAGAGCATCGCTGCAGGAGGAGAAGGGAACATTAGCACTGCCGGCTCAATGCTGCACAGACAGACAACAGACAGACACACACTCAGCAAAGGCTTGGCCAGTTTTGGGTGTGTCTGTCCCTGATGTCTTTCTATTCCTGCCTCGGGAACAGGACATACTTGTAATGACAGGGAACAATGACATCCTCTGTGTATCTGACCATCTCCTCCATCTCCCTGTGGGATCCTGGTAAGCCTTGCCCCCTTGCTGGCCTCAGTCTTCCCATCTGTGAAACAGGGAGGTTGGATTTCCTTAGTGGTTCTCAAATTATGCTCAGCATGTCCTTCAGAAGTTCCTCAAAAATTGGATCCAAAATTGCAAAAAATAAAGATTCTGCTTCTTTGAAAACTGATTTTTAAAGACTCATCTACCCAAATGTAATCTATCCCTGCAACACATTCAGTAGGCTCACTGACTTTGTTGCCAAGGTATAATTAATTTTGCATAGAATTTGAGACTGTACAGTGAGGTGTTAAACAACTGTCACCATTTGTAATGGCTTGGCCATGTAAATGAAGTGTTTTGGTTTTTAAAAATATATATATTCGGCAAAAACAAGGCAACACACAAAAATAAATAAGGTGCCGAGGCCGATGTCAGACAGCAGCTACCACCTACCAGCCCTGATGCCAAATGACTGTGTCTATCACAACAGATCATTGTTCTTGATTAGCTAAATGTTAGACATTTAAATACTTAAATTTATACTGATTAAAACACAGCTCGTGTCTGATTTGTACACTGGAATTCCACAGAAGATCTCATTTGAAAGAAGAGCTCTGTGACGGCTAACATGTTTGAGAAAACTGGCTGGAATGAATGCAGTAACACTGGTTCCCAGGTTCACAGCCACGCTCTCTGATCCAACAGGTGTTTCTAAAAAAGCCAGTGATCCCACCTGTCCCAGTTCAAATCCTGGGTGCGTCAGCTTCCTGCCTTCCTAGGAGCTCTGGCCGCACCAGTGCCCTCCGTGTAGCCCAGCCTTTGCACAGGGATTCTCCCACCAGGCTGCCCTTTCCCCAGCCTGGCCGAGCTCCTGGCTCCTCCCAGCAGCCCCCCAGGCTTCTCTCAAATTCCTCTGGTTCCTGGGGCTTCCCAGCCCTCCCCGTGGGCCCGGACGTGGGAGGGCCTCCTCGCTGGCCTAGGATACTCATCAGACTGCACTCCACCCCCCACCCCCTCCCCCGGCACACTACAGCACACCACAGGCACTCCACAGGGAGGAGGAAAGACAAGCCTGGGGTGGCTCCTGCCTGCTTCAAGAGCTCTCCTCCCAGGGCCAGGGTCAGGTGCATGGTCGGCGGCGGCCCTTCCTCAGGAAACCAGCTCCCAGCATGGTGTCTCCCTACCCCCACAGGCCAGAGGAGCTTCCCCTTCCTGAAGCTGGCTAAAAATAAAATACCCCAGAGAGGAATTTAGCCTCCTTGAAACGGACACTAAAGATTAAACTATTAAGCTTAAAGCAGAGCTCTCGTGGAAGGGGTCAGATGGAATGAAACCTCTGACCCAGGGTCTGCCAGGAACAGGCTTGGGGGCGGCGGGGGGAGCTAAACCTGATTCAGAGCCCACCTCCCACCCCCGCTGGAAAGAGCACTCAACTGGGAGTCAGGCATCTTGGCCTCAAGTCCCAGCTCTGTCACATACAAGTGACTAAGCAAAGTCAATTCAGAATCACTTCCGCATCTCAGTTTCCCCATCCAAAAATGGGGATGGAAACACCTCCCCATGGAAGGGTTGTGAGAGCCCAGAGGTCACAGCTTAGATGAAGGGGCTTAGTTAATTCCTTATAAAGCCCTCACCAAATGAAAAGGACCACTATTATTTAATCTGCCCAAATCTCTGGAAGTAGCCTTTTCTAATGAAAACCACAGAGCTAAGAGATTTCTCCATTCTGGGGCCCCAAATTCAGCAAAGGTGTGGGTAATTCTGCGACAACCTCCAGAGACTGAGAACTCATTCACTGATTAGTGCAACAAATATCTGCTAAATCCCCATGATGGGTCAGGCCCTGTGCTTGGAGGTGAAGGATGGATGAGGAAGGTCCCTGCCCGCATGGTGTCCAGAGGAGGCCACTGTGCCCACTGCAGCCCCCGGTGGAGGGGGGAACATCACTGCCCCCCACGGCAGCGGCACCCAGCGGCTGCCCTTGTGTCTGCTGTGGGCTTGAGAAAATAGGCAGCTCAGCACTTTTTCTAGACTTCCCCAAAGGCAGGGTCAGTGGAGGGGAGGGGCTGGGCCTCAGTAGCGAAGCCTGTGCCGGGACTTGGCCCCAGATTCTGAATCCAAACCTGCGCTATGCCCTTTCCTAGCTCAGGCACATCCTGTCTCATCCTGAGCCTCAGTTTCATCTCTGCAGAGCAGGAAGTGACTCCTGGGGTAGTGAGGAGATGGGACAAGGACCGCAGTGGAAATGTTAGTTCTCTCCCCCGTGCTCTTCTCCTGGCCCCAGTGCTAGCACCACCCCTCTTCTGGCACCTGAAGGGAACAGAAGCAAAGAAACCCTTAATATCACTTTATTGGCAGATGAGCTGGTGAAAAAGTCAGCCAGCAGATGTCTGCAGGAGCTGGAGCACAGGTCTGGTGTGGTCCCCCTACAGGGAGGGTAATCGTGTAATATTGCATCCCTGTTAGGGGGGACCTTCTAAGAGTGATAGGGGCCACTCCATAGGCTCACATCAGGACCGCAGGTACAAGGCGAACCTGCCCTTGACCACCAGGTGTCCCCCTCCTATAGGAACAGGCACGAGGTTTGACTTTAGGGCAAGAGGATTGAAGCTGTGCCTGGTTGTCAACGGGGACCTGCTCACTGTCCTTGCTCTCGAGGGGTCTGTGCTCAAGTGAGGGGACGCAGAGGTGCCAATGACTAAGCACAGACTTGGGCAGAAGAGCTAGCTTCCCATGACTGAGTGCTCGTCAGTTCTCAGGAGAGCCATTTAATCCTAGAAACAAGCCCGGGGGTGGCACTGGGGTGGGGGTAGCTGTGGCACACTCTACAGCCCAGGAATCAGGGCATAAGTAGCAAGCTCAAGAGTGCCCTGTCAGTGAGGGCAGAGCTGGGTCTGCACCTGGGCCTGTCCAGCCCCACAGCCCAACCGCATTTGGGCTCCATATCTGCAGCTTTACTCCACCATCTTTGCAACCTAGGAGGTCACATCATGACTCTGAGCCCAGTGTCCTCAGCTCCCAGGTGCTGCCCTGCCCCCCTCAGGTTCCCAGGAGCCAGCAGGAATGCATGGGCAGGCCCTGGGCGAACTGCTATGTGAAGTCTCAGATCTGTTCCTGTCTACCTGTTCCAAAACTGTGGCCAGACTGGGGAACCGGGGTGTCCCTCGAGGGCAAAGCCCCTTCTTGGGTCTCCAATCAGAATGCACTTCTTCCTGGAAGACTCCATCAACCCATCTGCCCTTCTGGCCAGTCAGGCCCCTGCTTTCTTTTACTGGATGGACACTTGGTTGACCAGACACACATCACCCTGTAAATATGCGTTTAAGAGGCTCATGGGGTTGAGTGTTCACTGGGGCAGCCAGACAGTGTATGTGTGTGTACACGTACATGTGTAGGAGGGGCTCTGTTGAGACACAGCCCCAGAGAAAGAAGACAGACGGGATCTAATTCACCTGTGTTTTGAAAGCGTGTTCATCTATCATGCACAGGGATGGCCAGTGGGAAGCTCGGGGCTCTGCGAGCCCAGCGTCATTATTCCTCCTCCTCCTAGAACATCTTTTTGGCACCCCCGACCAGCTCGTCCTCACAGGCCACAACCCTCCTGTTTTATGTCTGGAATGGGCTGCCCAGGGCAGGAGGAGAGCCTGCCATGTTCACCCCATCTGGGTGCCAGAACGGGCCCCACACCTCAAGGCCCTTTTTGTCATCAGCCTGGGCCCCCTTGTGGCACCTCCTTTCTCAGGGCAAGGCCTCTTTCCCATCAGAGAGCTCAGAACAATATCTCTCTACAGTGTCCAAGAAAAAGGGGAGACTGCCCCGGGCTCTGCACAGCCTGGGCTATGAGATGAGGGGCCATCAGAGATGGAGCAGATGCAGCTCAGCCTCCTACCAGGACACCCTCAGTCCCCGGGGTGCAGAGAGAGGAAACGGCAAAGGCAGGGAAATAGAGGAAACAGAATTGCTGTCTGATTGTAGTTTGAAGACTTGCACTGGGAGTAGGGGGAAGGGAGGCCACAGCAGAGAAGGGGTAGGGGGGGAGAGAGAAAGCGACAGAGCGGGGGAGGAAGAGAGAGGGAGGGAAGAGAGGCGGGGAGATAGAGAGAGAGAAAGAGAGAGGCAGGCTGTGGAGGCCAAGAAACAAAAGCCGGGAAGGGGGAGGGGAAGGAGTAGAGTGGAGAGAGGGGGAGGGGACTGTGCTGGTGACATCAGAGGCCCAGGGCTGCCCTATTTCCCAGGGCTTGGTATCACCCCCTCCCAGGCCTGAGGCCAGGCCAGCCCCTGGAGAGAGACCGAAGTCTTATCCCCGGGGGCCCAGCAGGAGGCCTTCCCAACTCAGGCAGGGACCCAGTCCCCCAGAGCTCTCACTGTTGCTTCATCTACTGCTGTACTACAGTTTCTGTAAATACTGACATGAGCTTGTCAAGTGCATTAATGAGCGACTTGCTGTGTGACCCTGGACAAGTCATCTGACCCCTCAGTGTCTCAATTTTCTGACCTATAAAATGGGCACAAGAGGCTTCTTGGAATCTTGAAGGTAGGTTAATCCTTGGCTTACCTGCCTGTCTTCCAGGGTCCCTCCCCCAAGACATGACAGCATCTCCTCTCCACGCTGCTCTAAAAGCTCCTCTCATCTCATTGGGACCCCTTCATGTATTCCTGATCTGGGAGCAGGGGAGGTCAGGGAGCTTAGGGTGGCCAGTGTCCCTGGAACACACACAGTGGGGCAGAGTTTGGGTGGAAGGCACTTGAAGGCCTGGTTTGGCTTGGGGCTGGCAGGACAGAAGCCATTTGGAAGGAAGAACCAAT